AAAAACAAGTTTGTGACATCATATTTTGGTGTTCATAAATTTGTCCATCAATGAGATATCATTATTTACTTTTTAAGCCATTTTGTTGCACAACTTGTGTCTCAGTCAAAAAGCTGCATGGTTGTATAGGATTGAAGTTTTCTTGTTGAATACCTAGAAACAATAAAAAGAACAACATACTGAGTTAAGTAAAAATGATTGGAATTCATGAAAATATATGAAATATGCAAAATAAGCTAACAATTGTTACTGTTGTAGAATCTGTTTTATTCCTACTATAGTGGCAGGATCTGGATTAGAGTATATACTAATGAAAATAAACTGACTTGTAGCCAATTTGAGTTAGGATAAGTTGATTGTAGATTTAGGATTAGTGTAACTTTCTTTGCTTTTTCATAGTCTAGGATAACTTAGTTGAGTTTTATTTTCCAATACAGTTTGAAGAAGCAATAATTTACACTTATTTCCTTTGTCCTAAAAATTCATTGACTATCAATCCTAAGCCATGAACTCGTTTTCTTGTAAGCTAGAAAATTTAAAGGCAGTGAACTTAAAAATTACTTATTACTGCTCTTTATTGACTATTTTGTTTTCTCGTTAATAGAAATATATTCATCGTACACCCTTGTCAATGAGACTAATATTGCATTTTATTGTGCTGTCTTTATGAATTAAACATAGAACAATTGAATAAACTTAGGAAAAAGATAATGGAAATCTGGTTTACAGAAGCTAATGCACAACAAAAAAGCCTATTTAACAAGCTGTGTTAGACAATTTTGGGAGCAAATGATGGAATCATAATACATTTTAATATTAAAAAACTGATTTGAACTGGGAAGGATTCACCCCTTCTATAAAAAATTTAACTAAACTAGGAGGGATGCACCCATCCATTGCAATAGTGCAAAGCAAAGGTGATGCTTGAGAGACCCCCAATAGCAAGCTACTGGAGTTGACCCTCTCCCTAAAAATATAAATTTAATACCATGTGGACCAATGGACCACATATCAGATATTAAACTGATAAGAACAGATACTACACTTGATCTTAGCCAAAAGGCCGAGAAAGGTATGATTTTAACAATGCAAGTTATGAAAATTTATATTCAGACTTCCATCTACTTGTGAAAGTCTTGACTAATGTGGGATTTTATAACTTGAGGTGCTTCTAACTTAGCGTATCCTTTTATAAATCGTCAATAATATTGTTTGCTTAAGTCGAGAAGTCCATCTAATTGTTTCAAATTTGTTTGCTGGATCCAGTCCTTAATAGCTTTCAATTTTAAAGTATTCATGGCAATAACACCTAGACTTGGCAGAATATGTCCTAAATACTATATCTCCTGAAGTAGAAGACATATTTCTTTTATTCACCCATGAAAACATGTTCGTGAATGATCTAGAGAACCACTTCTAAATGATGTGTATGCTCATTCTATATTGAACTATATATTAAGATGTCAGAAAATGAGAACAAACTTCCTCAAGTCTCATATTTAAAAACATCATTCATTATGCTTTGAAATGTGGCCGGTGGATTCAGTGGGCCAACAGGTATCACAAGTCATTCAAAGTGTCCATGATGCGTGCAAAAAAGCAGCTTTTTATCTGTCCACTTGTGCCAACATAACTTGACACTAACCGGATCTGAAACTGAGCTAAGAGAAAAGAAGTTGTGATAGTTTGTACGGACCATCCAAGAACCATATTTCTTCTTCATAAGGATTATAGGAGATGAAAAAGGGCTCCTGCTTTGCTGAATAATCCTCTCACGAAACATATATGTCATTAACTTTTCAATTTATGATTTTGGACTATGGGATAATGGTATGGTTTCACCTTCAAAGGAGTTGCTCCTTCCTTTAAAGAAATATGGTTTCACCTTGAAAAAGTTGATGTTTATGAAGGTGATAGAAGAGCTAACTCGGGTTCCATATGCACTGGTAATTCAGGTTATGATAAGGTTTGTGCACTATGATCCATCAATGTCATGCTATAAACTTTGACAGCAGAATTTGTATTAATCATATGCGAAATGCGATGTAAATGTGCTTGCATCATAGCATGATCCACCTTGTAAAGTAACAAATTTACCATTATGTAAGAATTTTAAGTTTAAAGACTCAAAGTCAACAACATAGGGCTCAATTGTCTTGGATCATTTTGCACCTAAAATAGTATTAGCTCCTGAAATTGGTAGAAGATATAGGCAACTGAAACTTATTCCCCTGAGCTTGAATAACCAAATTGTGCACCAATTTCTCCGCTGCCATGTAATTGTCCTCTCCCGTCATCACCTTAAACAGAGGAGTTGGTTCAACTGGAAGTTGAGGAATTTAGCAATTTGTGGTGGTAAAAAATTATCCGAGCTATCTCTATCTATTATAACACTGTCACAGGTAACTTACACACATAAGCTAGAAATCTAATATCATCCACACCATTATCGCCCTTCAATTTGGTGCTTTTGTTACAACATGGCTGAGAACATGCATCTTAAGAAAAGATCCATGGGTTTATCTTCAAGGTGCTTATCTTCAAAATACTAAAATTAGTCATGACTGAGAAACATAAGTTGTCTACATCAGAAAATATGCTAGTTTCAATCCAAGAGAAGATCAAATGGGCATATGCTGAGTGAAATTCACAAGAAGCTCAGGAAGGATGTGGAAGAGATGGCGGAAGAAGTAAAATAGTCTATTTTCAAGGTGGAATGGAGTTTTGAAAATCCATGTGCATCCTATTTAAGGACATTCCATAGTGTTGGTGTTCCTTAATTTCTCGAAATTAATGATCCTATATAAAAGGCATAACTCCAATGTGACTTATGTGATAGTGACAGCAAAACTAAAAAAATTCCTTATTTAGATCAGCAACTTGTAATAACCAATTGGACTGAATGCTTTCCATATTTTGAATTTCTCGTAAAGCAGACAATAAAAGTCATTTTAGGGAAACAAGTAGAATCAAAGTATCGCTGCCCTTCTTCCTACTCTTTCAACCTTGGATTTAGCAAAGGTCTAACTGTTCTTAAACAGATAGTTACTGAACTGGGATTCCCAAAATATTATTTCTAATGTGAATTCACCAATGTGGGAAGGAAGACCTACTGAACAGCATCAGTGATATTGATCATGTTGACATCAGTGATATTGATTATATTGACATCAGTGACATTCATTAAGTTAGTATTTCATACATGATAAGTCTAATGAATGATTTCTTAATCATCAGGATTGATGTAACTAAAAGGCTACAGAGAAATTCCCGCTTTTCATAAAGTGTTGAAGTAACTCAGACCAACAATCTATTATCTTGTAGAGAACTTACATTGATATTGTTGTTTTATTTTCTTTCATAAGCGGGATATAATTATCCTAAAGTTTGCAGTATTACCACTCTGGGATCATTCTTTGGAGCTATCTAGTATTCACAAAATTGTGTTTCTATTGCCATTTTAGATGCACTTAAAATTCATAATTATATGCACATAAAAGAGAACAATAACAAAATAAGAAGCATATATTTTTCAATAAAAATAAAAAGTATACATTATAAAAAACTGAACTGATATAGAAGGGATGCAACGAGTCTTTGCAACAGTGCAAAACAAAAGCGATGCTAGTAACAAGCTACTGCAATTGATCTCTCCATTAAAAAAATAAATTTAATATCGGGTGGACCAATGGTCCATATATCAGATATTAAACTGATAAGAACAGATACTACACTTGATCTTAGCCAAAAGGCCAATAAAGGTATGCTTTAAACTGGGCAACTGTTGAAAATTTATAGCTAAGCTCCATCTTCTTGTCAGAGTCTAGAAAAGTGTGGGACTTCGTTCATGTAGATATGGACATATTTGGTTTTCTTCCGTTTGAGGATTTCATCTAGTTTTCTAATCATCCTTTGTTGAATGTTAATAAATTGGAAGTTTGAAAACAATATTTGATGAATGGCAGACATGATTTCTAATTTTGTTCCTGTCGTCTGAGGAAAGTTGGATCAGTTGTGTCCATGCTCTGAGGTCTTAGCTTGTCTTCGTCGATCTGTCATTATTTAAATTTTTTATCCTTCAACCAACTATTCTTCTGTAGAAGCAAAACGTCTTCCAATTAACTTGACTTTCAAAGTTATAATCTCGATTTGAATTTCAATCATCTGATGGTTTTTTTCTCAAAAGCTGGCTTTATGAAACCCGTCAATTTCTCCGTAGTAAACACAATTTAGTGTTGTAGTCCACTGAAAAATGTCATAAGTATAAGGATAAATGTAATTCAACCATAAGTGCTCTTTTGGAACATTCATGTAGAACGAACGTACATGAGTTACATTTACGTATTTCTTTTGTTTTTGAAAGTTTATTCCGAAAAGTTTCTGAAACATGTAACCAATAAGTCTCTTTCACATGAGGTAAATGGTCATTTTCCAAATGTAGGATACACAAAAAAAATTATGGAGGTGCAGGATGTAAAAGCTTGAGTTGGCTTACTTAATCCAAGTTGAGAGTTCAGTTTGGAGACAGGGTGTTTCACTCTACACTTCCAAGGATTTCACCCTACACCTCCAAATTTCAGATTTGCCCTCTAAGGGTAAAGATTATCATAATAATTGTATTATTATTATTATGATTCATTTATGATCTTAAAGTTAACATTTGTAATTTTAATTTGTAGCGAAAAATTAAAACATTTAATCACAAATGAAAATAATAAAATGTGTGCTTAATGTTCGTAAATGAAAGATACATAGAAGTTATTATCATAAATATGGAAATCCAAAAAAAAAATATTGAAACTCGAATTTCGAAATCCGATACTTCTCTTTTCGGATTTCCATAAATACAGTGCTTTTGGTAGTTTTTTTAGTTGTACTATTTGTAAATGTTTATTAAATTATTTTAAAATGGTTTATTATATTATTTCTAAATGTTAATTAGGTAATTTGTATGAATTAATTTAATTTATGAAAAATATATTTATTTAAAATTGATGAATTTATTTAAAAATATATGAAAAATTTAAAATAATTTTTAGGTAGTGTTAGTTATTATTAATTCATTAAAATATTTTAAAATAAATATTAAATATTTCAAACAAAATTATTTAATTCATAATTAATGTAATTAATTTAAATATTTATATATTTATAAAATCCTAATATTTCATTAAAAAATAACTATGTATCTTAAAATTATAAAAACAAAGATATGGAAATTGAGAAAATATTTAGAAAAACAAATTCCTAAATTCAGCAAAATTATATTCCGGAAAACTTATTCATAAATAATTTTAATGTATTCTGAAAATTTTATTTCAAAATTTCTTTTTCAGAAATTCTATTTCGAAAATTTCATTTCAAAGATATTATTACCGAAAATTAAAAAAAAAATGGTTTCAAAAAGTTTCCAAAACATGTATTCCAAAAATCAGTTTCATAGAAGGTAAAAGGTCATTTTAAAAATGTAAGAGGGTGCAAGCAGCTGTAGAGGTGCAGGAAGTAAAAGCCGACCTTTCTTGGTGGAGTTCTTCTACAACTATGAGTGAGAAACTAATTGAAATTTATGAAATTATTATTCTTTGTACAAAAACTTGGATAGCTTTGTACAAAACAAGAGTGAGAAATTAACTGAAATTTATGAAATTATTATTCTTTGTACAAAAACTTGGATAGCTTTAAGTGAGAGAGGTGCTCCGTCCACCACCACATAATGTTCTTTGCACCTTTCCATTCTTCTTTTGTTTTTTTGTAAATTTTTAATTTCTGTTTTTACTTTCATCAATATCCAACTATTTCATTAAATCTCATTAATAGTTCCTATCACTATATCAATGCACCCCCACACTCCACCACTTACACATAAATCAAATTGCTCTTTATTTTCTTCTCTCCTACTGTGATTCTTGTAACATCCCAAAATATAGTAATACCATAATTCAGAATTAATTACAATTAACAGTGAACAGTAAACA